TTTGTTGAGAAAAGGATGTAGCAAGGTGTTCATATTTAGAGGATCTAAGTGAAAATGACCCAAGATTTTTTGTACTATTTTCAATTTTCTGTAAGTTTAGAATTATGTACTAATGAAAAGTTCATAAAAGTAAGCTTTGCTGGGTACTAGGTAGATCACACCTGTAATCCTAGCCATACAGGAGGCCTAGAACTGAGTGCAGGAAGGTCTGTGAGACTCTTATCTCCAATTAACCACCAACAGCTAGAAGCAGAGCTATGGATCAAGTAGTGAAATGATAGCCCTGAGTAAAAAAGCTTGGGGACACTGTCTAGACTGAGTTCAAGCCCTAGGGCCAGCACAAGAAGGGAAAAATAAGAGTAAAGAAGTATTTGATATCACATTGTCACTTATATAGTATGACTACATGAGACCTTCCTGAAAGGGGATTTATGATACTTTTCTCCTATCACCATATGCTGAGAGAAGTACACCACCCAGGTCTTTAACAGGTGCTATGCACAGGGTGCCAACCAACACTGACACTGGAAAACAAAAATACCATTCGGACTTCCAATTACAGTACAGGTATTTGAGGTCAGGTATGAAAGGGATCCCTGATCCAATCCTTCCCATCTCAGAGTGGCTCCACTAGATCCATGTGTCTCCCTTGGGATCATTTCCCCAGATCTTCAATGGGTAAATAGAACAAGCAAGTTAATTTGCTTGCTCATATTGGAATTAGTTCTTTAAATAATAAAAGAATTTTAGCAGGAAAGATCAAATGAAAGCCCGAAGATAAAGTAATAAATAATCAATAAATAATAAAGTAATTAATAGTGCTTAAGAGGGGACAATAAGAGGGATTATGGACACTCTTAGTGGTGTAATGGTCCATATACCTACTCACATTATTTAATTCACCTATATGACTTTTACAATGAACACCTGATGAATCATAGTGCCTGTAAGTGGAGTGAGTGGCACAGACTTAATCATGTGCTAGGTCACTTTATAAGATAGACTTTACAGCATCAGAATTCTGCTAGTTTTCAGGGTTTTTTTTTTATTGTGAAAATACTGAACAGAGGGGTTACAATTACATGGGCAAGATAATGAGTACATTTCTTATCAAGCTTTGTAGCCTCCTCCTTTGTTTACCCTTCCCATCCCTTCCCATCCTCCCCCCCCTGCCCTCCCCACCCAATCCTCCCCACTACCCCCAGCCCCCCCCCCCCGCCTCCCCACACACCCCCACCAAAGTTGTAAAGTTCATTTTTCAACACAATGTACATCTCATTGTTGCAATGGGTCCACCTGTATCCCTATTTAAATGATTTGTTTTTCCCCTTCCCCTCCACAAATTATACCTACATCAAATACAGTGAAAGCTTTCCAGGTTTTTTGATCCAATGTTCTGAGGCTTTTGAAAACATCACTTCAAAATAAAAGTTTTCTTAATATACCTTGTACCTGTCACTAAGGGGGACCAATGCAATGCTTGACAGGGTCCGTTAAATTTTGTGAGCAATACAGTTCCTACTCTGACTTGTGATTTGAAAGAGTTCTAGTTTTGAGTGGAGCGCAGAGCAAGCAAGAGATCAGTCTCACATTCAGAACATGGTACAAGTAACTCTGGCACTTGGATTATACTTGTGAAGTGTTAACCAAGCCCTAAATAGAGAATCAGAAGATTCCTAGGGTTCTTTGGGTCAAGAATTATACATTTGAGCCAGGAGTCAGTAGCTTATACCTGTAATCCTAGCTATTGAGGAGGCTGAGATCTGAGGATCATGATTCAAAGCCAGTCCTGGAAAGAAAGTCTGTGAGACTCTTATCTCCAATTAGCCACCAAAATGCTGAAAATGGAGTTGCTGCTCAAGTGGTAAAGTGCTAGCCTTGAACGCAAAAGCTCAAGGGCAGCAGCCAAGCCCTGAGCTCAAGCTCCAATACTAATACAAAAGGGAAGAAAATTATACACCATTTGAAAAATATCTCCTAGACATGGAAAATCTTATTATGAGATATCAAATGACCATGTGACAACCAATGTTCATCATGAACTGCCAAGCCATAAGGCCACATAGACTTAGTAGAAAGATTAAAATGATTTCATAAAGTTTGAGTAGATCCAGAGATCACAGGGACACCCATAGTACAAATTCCGAGATCATCTGCCATAATGCTTTCCATGGCTCATACCTATGACCTTATGAAACAGTTACCTAAAACGGATGTCTATGATGTAGACATGGTTTGAATGGGTCCCTTCCTGCCAGAAGCTGGTAGTTTAATGTTGTAATGTTCAGAGTGTGGTAGTTTGCTTACTGTTAATCTTGTGAGAATTCTTATTCTGAAAGGTTCCTGCTTTGGTCCTGTAGCTTGGTCCTTATTAGTTACATTCTTGTTATTTACATTTCCTGCTGCCCTTTTAAGACATCCTGTTTAAAGCTTCTTGAATTTTAGTTACATTAAACAACATCCCTTTGCAAGATTGTGAACCTGAGTTCAGCCAATGGGAACAGAGGAGCAGGGCCTGCTGCTGGGTTAGGGATAAAAAGGGAGCGGCTTGCCTGCTCTGTGTGCTTGCTTGCCAGATTTTAAACTTTGCCTTGCTCAGTTCTTTTTGAGTTGGTGAGCTACTCCTAACCTTTAAGAAGTGGATCTAATGGGAGGTGGTGGTTTTAGATCACAGAAAAAATTGCACTTAGAAAAGATTAGCACAATTCTCACAGGATCCTGGCTCACTCAAGCAACTGCAAATTGTTATAAAAAGGGTATATGTGGCCCTTGAATCCCTCTGGTTTCCTGTCTTGCCATGCAATCTTTTCTGTGTATGTTGCCATCACCTTACTATCAACTTCCATGGAGCCACATAATCTTAACATCCGGCATCCAAAAGCAGGAGCTAAGGAGACATCCGGTCTGTGAACTCTAGGCCCTGGCTCTGTCCCTAAGCTTCTTTTGCTTAAGGTTAGCACTCTACCATTTGAGCCACAATGCCAGTGCCACTTCTGGCCTTTTCTTAGTAGTTTATTGGAGATAAAGTATCTCACAGACTTTCCTACCCAGGCTGGCTTTGCACTATGACCCATAGATCTCAGCCTCCTGAGTAGCTAGGATTATAGGCGTGGGCCACCAGCATAGAGCTAATCTTAATTTTGTTATTATTATAAAGGTGATGTACAGAGGGAACAGCTTGTCTTTATAAAATACCCAGCTCCAGTATTTTTTATACACGCTAATGAAAGAAAAGAAATCCATGAACTTGATTTTTATTCCCAGAGCCCTTAAGAAAGAAAGATGGTCCATCCCAGCAGATGGGCCATCTACACCAGCAGAAGTGACGACCGAAGCTGAGAAGAATCTAGAATGGATGGTGAAGGATAGTGATAAGGATTAGTTGAGACTTCAGGACCACCTGTGCCAGCAGGACGATACTATTCCCACCAACTCTCCATTTTCCTAGACACTACTGACCAACCAGAATCATGGTTGGTAGAGTATATAGAGCACACTTAATGCAAAAGTATTGGATCTGAATAGGGTGAACTGTAGACAATGCTGTTTGTGTCTCATTACTCATCTCTCCCTCTATTCCTTGCTTAGCCTCTTATTTCACTCCATAGCTGTCCTACAGGTGTTTCCCCTAAGCATAGACCATAGACAAAACATACACGTGAATGCTTGTCTCAGGATGTGCCTTGGAGGGACTAGGGTATAGGACTATGACTCAAAATGTGAAAATCTGTGGACAGGAGGCTTTTCCTCCCAATTTCCTACCTTTGGCCTAATTGTTGGGTGCTTAACTACAATGTTTCTTACTTTCTCCCAGTGGTAGGCTAAAGATGAGATTGGACTCCACAGATTTGCTACATACTTTCTTGAGGTGGTGGTAAAAAGAGGGTGATAAAGGACTCTTAACTCTGTCCATCGCATCCCATCTAATACACCCTGCCCTGAAGCTCCAGAGTATGTCTGTCATCATTGTTTCAAAAGTTCCTAGGCTGGTGGCTCATGCCTGGAATTCTAGCTATTCAGGATACTGAAATCTGAGTATCCCAGTTGGAAGCCAACCCAGGTAGGAAAATGCATGACACTCTTATCTACAATGAGCCACCAAAAAGCTACAAGTGGAACTGTGGCTCAAGTGTTTGAGCACCAGCCGTAAGCAAAAAGCTAAGGGACAGAACCCAAGCCATGAATTCAAAACTCCAATACTGACATATATACACACACACACACAACACACACACACATACATACATACACAAATTTCTACATGAACATATACTCCCTACAAAAGGAACTGGTGTGCCAAGTTCTGGTAGTTCATTCTTGTAAATCCTAACTACTCAGAAGGCTAAATCCAAAGGACCATGATTCAAAGACAGCCTGAGGAGAAAAATCTATGAGGCTCCTTCTCCAAAATAACCAGCAAAAAGTTAGCCTAGAGGAGTGGCCCAAGTGGTACAGCACTGGCCATGAGCCAGCAATCCAAGTGTGCATGAGGCTCTGAGTTCAAACTAAGAGTGAGTGAGTACAGCCAAGAGAAAGAAATGGAGATGGCGAGAAGCAAAAGCAAACAAACGAAAATACACTATTTCACCCAGGGCTTAGTTAGTCCACTAGATAACAGTGCGTTACTAAATAACCACACAGTTAGGATTAGATCACTCCCTTAAGCAACTGCTCTTCAGTGATTGTTTTCCATTGTTTTCCCCAAAGATACATACAAAACCAGGTAAGAAAACAGGCTGCTAGAAGCTACAACAGCATTTGTGGGGGTATTCCTTGAAAAACATACCACAGTATAATGGGAAATTAATAAAAGGACTGAAAACAAAAAAATGATGTTTAAATTTGTCTTCAAAAGGTAAGGTTCTGGCAGGTGAAAAAACAGGATTATTGCCAGGTAGTGCTGATGTCTGCTAAATCTGAAGATGGTTCAAAGCCAGCCTAGGCAAGAAAGTTCATGAGACTCTTATCTCCAATTAACAGGCAAAAATCTGGAAGTGGAGGTGTGGTTCAAGTGGTACAGTTCCAGAGTTGAGCAGAATAAGCTAAGGGACAATACCCAGGCCATAAATTCAAGCCCCAGCCTAGCACATGCATGTGTGCATGCGTGTGCGCACACACACACACACACACACACACACATTTTCCTCTTAAATTAGCTAGTGGTTTTTCACATATACCCTAAGGATTGGTAGATAAAGAGTAGATGAGTAAAAGCAAAACTGTCACCATTACCTGAGCAACAGTTCAAAAGACAAATCCAGCTGATGGTGGGCCAAGGGTGTCTACAAAGAACAAAGTCCATGTTTGAAGGACAGTGTGGAACTGCGCAAGAGAGTCTGGCAGCAAATCACCTCCTTCTCCAGCACAGTACCAAAGTGCTCTCAGCAACCTTCAAAGTCTTTCAATGGCACGGGAAGGCACTGAAGGCAGGAAGTGTGACACTGCCATTAAATGCTGATTTGCACTGGGCCACTCTTACTACTAATAATGTGGGCAGAGAAACCAAGACAAGAATGTTTTGCTTTTGAAGAAAAAATCCTCCACAGGAAAGCTGCAGGGCTCTATGTAGATAGATACAGAGTTGCAAGAACACAGTCACGTCTTGGAAAGCTTTCATCTTCTGGCTGCCTAGCAACTTAGAGGTAGGGTGTGGAGAGGGGCGTTTGCAAAGAAGCCTGAGAATAACAGGTATCCTACGTGCAGTGTCAGCTCGTGATGATCAGTAACACAACCTCAGGAGAGAGCGCTGCCCTGGGGGAGAGTAGGCTTTCCTGATCAGTAGGTCTTGGGAGGCCACCCACCTCTTCACAGGGAGTCTGATTTGCCATTGCTTCTGTGGGTTTTTAGGTTGATTTGGGGTGGGCACCTCAGGCTGCCCACAGTTAAAGGAAAAGTTGCATTCATTAAAGACAAAGAAATATTATGGTTTCAAAATAAGCCAGGGCAAGGATAATAGCATTCATCTACCACATTTTACATTTCAGTGTCTCAATATGGAGGTTCTTGTTGGTGCCAAGAATGGCTGGAAATTCAGCTTGTCCCTCTTTATTGGCTCCTTTATCTCCTACAAAGACATTTCTAATTTGAAACCAGAATTTAACTATCTTGGCCACTCTGCGAAAACAGCAATAGAAGAGAAGGAAAATGTTAATTGAATAGGAAATACTGTCCTTGGTAGAGATCAAAGGAATCTTCTAACTATAGAGCAGGATTTTTATAACAAAATGATAACTATACATCATTCCTTTATTAACAAACTATGCCACACAAATCAGATTATTTTATCTAATTACAGAGTTAATAACGATGGAATCTGTAGTTACAGCAGCAACATAAAATCCTACTGGGAAGAAATTTGGTATTTTGACAAAGGCTGTCACCTGCGTTGGAATCTACAGACTAAGATGGCAGAACTGGTGACTGTGGGTCAAGTACTGCTGTAAAAGTCAAGTCTGGCTTTGCTGTTGCACTCTTCATGATATGCAGACCTTCCAAAGATACAGCATCAAATACAGATGATGTGGAAAACCACATACTACATCAGACATAAGAACAGCACACAAAGGCCATAAAAACTTGAGAAAGTATAAAAACATCTTGAAATAGTTGCATCCATCTTGAAATAGCATGTCCCTGTTATAAATAACTGGACATAGAGAATCCTTACCTGGCACTTCGTGTGAGAAATCAATTAAACTAATTACTAAAAAAGGTTTTGCCTTAAAATGGATAAAACGGTGACAGAAAAAAGGAAAGTACTAAATCCACAAGGAAAAAAAATGATATAGGAAGTCAAGTCAAACTCGGTTTTCTGAGGGATTCAAAATCAAACATCATAGAAAATGGGTCTTCAAAGTCCAGCCAGCACAGCCACAGAAACAAAGTTTCAGGGAGATGTGAAATAAGACTTGGGATCCTTTCTCACTTAAATCCAAATACTTCTGTCTTTTGTGATTTGGGGAAAATGGGAGAACTGATGCTGCCCTTAATCACTTGCCATTTTCTTTTCCTTAAATTTGAAAATCCCTGCTGGAGAGAAATTTTACCGACAAGATATATGATCATAGACCTAAAATATAGTCTGTGCCACCAAAAATTAAAAAGTTTCCACCAAGGCTGTGTAATAGTCTTCTATATAATAAGTGAGCAACTTAAGCTCATAGAAAGAAACTGAATTTTGTTATCCCCATTTCTCATAAAACCATGCTATTGCCTCCAAATGATCAGTATTTCTATACACCATTTATGAATATTCTAACAAACATTCCAGCTACATTTTCCTCAAAAAATATTTTAAAGTCTGCACAGAAGTTTTTTCATAAGAAGGCAAGCCCCACATTTGTAGAAAACTCTAGACTGAGAATGTACAGTTACCAAAAATTACACATTATGTCCAAGCAGAATCTGCATAGTGTTCTTAAACATAATCACTAATAAAGAGCAGCTGAGTCCCAGCTCTTCATTCTGCTGTCTAGCAAACAGTGTCAATGTGTAAATGACAACCAGGAAAATGCACAAGTTTCTTTGATGTGATCATGAAGAGTTGATCTTCAAGAAGAAAAGTGGACCCAAGCTCTAGATACTTCTCAAACCTTCACTGCTTCAACAAAATGGAACAAATCTCTGTAGAGACTTCTTTCCTCATATTTTCCCCCTTCACACTGGATTAAACAGAAATTGCTGTCATTCTAGAATCGGTGATTACATCTATAATTAAAATTGAACTTTTATGTACATACATTTTTGCTGTTTATTGTAACTATGAAAGGTTAAGCTGATGTGTAGAATCCATCCAGTAATGTATGAAACTAAAGTCCACTGCTCAAAAGATATCATCATGGCTGAATGTATCTGATGCTCAGCATATGAGTATGATAAATCATTGCAAGTCATTCGCTTCTTGCTGGAGTCAACTGGGTTCCTCTCTCAGAAAGTGAAAGAATCTATCTGATGTGCCAATCAATATCAAGTTTCCAAAACAAATAAACAAGAAGATAATTTCTGTGGGCCAAAAATCCAAGCAAGAGCAGTTTTGATGAATGATTTCCAGAATCAAGTGTATCCTCCCTTTGTCCAATGAGATGATGTCAGGAATATTACTTCCACTCCTGCTGTTGGATGAACTCACATGAGTACTGCTTTCTTGGGGTCAGGTGGTGGTGACAGATACATTGCTTGATGCTAAAGGTGAGGTGAGACTACCCAGAAACATAGAGGGACAGCACTACGGATCAACTGGAATAAGGGAAAGAAAATCCAAACTTGACAATATGGCACTAGCATAGAATAAGGCAGTCATAATTTTTTCTCAAAACAATCAAGCTGTTTTCCATTCCCTAAGTACAAATGATTTATTTTGTATTCATTGCTGCACAGTATCAGAAGACATTCCAAGCTGTGGTTCATTATCGCTATCACTTCTTCTTTGTTCTACTGGCAAATCTGATGACAGATGGTAGCCTGTGTTGGGATGGCACTGAGTTGCCAGTCGGTGAGGGTGGAATAGCAGCAGGATCAAAAGATGTCACACCAGGCGCCCCTACAGAAGGTGGCGCATGCACAATAACCCCTTTGGTTGGGCTGCTTTGTGTTTCTGGTGTAAAGGTGCATTTCTTTTTGACAGGAGGGTCTTCCTTTTCATCAGAAGAGCTTTCTCTTGTTAGATCAATAACATCCACTTTCTTCTTGCTTGCTTCATTGGCTACAATCACTGAACTAGGTATACTGAGAACTTTATTGGTTTCAATTGCTGGACACGTTTCACTAAGGCCACTTGTACTTTCTAAGTTTGCATGTGGTGGACTGGGTACCTGCATAGCTCCTTTCTTCAGTCTCACTGGACACCAAACGCCATCTTTTTGGAATTCAATCTCATCTGCATCTGAACAGGCACTGAGAATTTCCATAAAAAGCCCATCTAATATCAGGTTTTCGTAGGCGGCTTTTTGGTCACACACAGGACAAATCCAGGTGAGTTTCTTCTCATTCATTTGTAGGTAGACGGCAGCATCAAAACACTGCAGGTGTGTACATGTCACTGCGCGGCATGGGGCTGTCAGCCTCATTTTTCCTAAAGGGCACACCAGCGATACCTGAAGACTAGTCACAGCAACTTCACTATCAGGATCTGCAGTAAGTTTTTCTTTAATTAGTGCTCTGGAATGGTCTGGATTACTAACAGTATAGTTTAATCTCTGTAGTAACGTGGCTGAGGTGAGCTTTTCTACAAGATATACAGACATGGAGTGGTTCTTCCCAATTTCAGATGCCCAAGAAATAGAAATCCGATTGGGCACAGCCGAAGACAATCTAACTAAAGATGTAATATTCAACGGGCGCGCAGGGCACTTCTGTTCAATCCCACGTTTAGGGGAAGATGCAGAGCCAGGCAAAGGAAGCAGCCATCCGTTTACTTTTACACATAGTCTGTTGGGGTAGTTATCTTCTTGAGGGCAACTTGCCTCTACCAGGCAAAGTCTCAGCTGCACTTGGACTCCATAATTTATTCTGCCACCTGGCAAAGAGTGTTTGGATATGCGGATCTTTCTAACTTCTTGAGGTGTCAGAGCAAAACTAAAAAAGTTCTCTTGAAATGGCGGAATGCTGCTTTTAACTAAACTGGTGGGTTTGATGAGAACCTTAAGGATATCATAAAAGGGCAAGTTTGTGAGCTGCACCTCAGGATGGTCAGGAGGAAGTGAAGGAGATGGTTGCTGCCTCTCAAATGTGGGCTTTGTATTTTGAAGCAGCACAGAACCAACAGGAGATGGTGGTGAGTGAGGGGTAACTGACGTGGAAGGCAATGAGTGGATTCCAGCCCCAGTTACGTCAGGTTCCATCCGAACTGAGAAGAGATGACTTGATCATTGGTGAATCCGAAAGTCCTTTTCAAGTCCAGGGACACTGGTGTCCATGCAATTCTTGGATTTTAATCTGAACCACAGGGTAGCAGCCACGATTCAATAAATGCAGCACCCTCTTCAGGAGGTCATGCTTGTGTCCACTTTTATTTCATCCAGCAAAGCCTAATGCTTGTGCTTCAGAAACCCTAAAATTAGAAATCACATTCCTCAACTCTTCGAAGTCTGCTGATTTACACCACCTGCTCCCCTCCTGCTGCCTCCAACACCACCACCTCTGCCCCATCCTGTAGTGGGCCAGGATTTTTGTTGGTTATGGGGCTTAAACTCAAGGCCTGGGTGCTCTCCTGAGGATTTTTGCTCAAAACTAGCACTCTACCTCTTTGAGCCAAAGAGCCACTTCCAGTTCCAGGTGATTAATTTTAAAATATGAGTCTCACGGATCTTCTTCCTCTTCTTCTTCTTTCCTTTAAAGGTCTAAATCCAAGCCAGGTGTCAGTGGCTAATGTCTGTAACCCTAGTTACTCAGGAGGCTGAGATCTGAAGATCCACATTTGAAGCTAACCGGGGCAAGAAAGTCCTGTAAGACTCTGATCAATTGATCACTGAAATGCCAGAAGTGAAGCTGTGGTTCAAGTGGTAGAGCCTTGAGGGGAAAAAATCTCATGTGCAGCACCCAGGCCCTGAATCCAAGCCCCAGAAATGACAGGAAAAAAAAAGGAAGAGGAAAAGGAAGAGAAGGAAGAAGAAAAGAAAGAAAGAACAAAAGAAAGAAGGAGTTCTAAATCTAAAATTCATGTATCTGGTTATTATCTTAGTTAGAGATCTAGTAGATTAATAGATTAATACTAGAAAATTCATATTAACAAAATTGATTTAATAGATTTATATGTATGCAAAAAATTCACTATTCTATTCTTTCAAAAATATTCTTAAATGTTTCACAAATCTGTTTAGATATTAGTTAAACATTGAAACTGTTGATTTACAAATTTTAGCCAAAAATATGCACAAGTGGAAATAAGCAAAAACAAAAACAAAACTACATAGTAACCACTTAGAAATTTTAACAACAAAAAATTCTTGGCACAGAAGAAATAAGCCTAAAGTCAAAGACTATTCAGAAGTAATTTAAATACTAAGATTAGGCACTCTTTGTGTACCAAACTTTGCACTGAGTCTCAAAGGATCCTTATAATAATACTATAAGATAAATGCAGCTACCTTTGTCTTTTCAAATGAGAAAAGTGAGACCTATAGAGGCCAAATATTTTGCCTGAGATAGCACTAGCAAACTGACAGTATTTTGAACCTAGGCAGCCTGGTTTGGAAGCCCACATTTTGGATGGGGGTTGGGAGAGTGACTGGGATTTGAGCTCAAGGCCTCATGCTTGCTTAGCTGGCATTCTACCAGTTCAGCCACACTTCCAGCCTTGCTTTTTGGCTGATTTTGGAGATGGAGTCTGGTGGGCTTTCTTCTGTCCAAGCTGGCCGTGAACTATGATCCTCTAGTTCTCAGACTTCTTGTGTAGTTAGGATATAGGTATGAGCCACTAATGTCCAACTTAAAGCTCCATTTATATCTACTAGAACATACAAGTTCATATAAAATCCATAGGAAGGACCAAAGTCTGAAGAAAATTCATCATAGTTTTTTTTTTTAATTTTAAAAATTGCAGTATGCAGCCCAAGATTTCTGACAAAATTTGTCAGTGAGCCTATTGCTTTCTTCTACATAGATTGGCTCCATAAGAAACAGGAAACACAGGAAAAGGAACCGCCAGGGTGTTCCCCGGCTGAGGATTTGTCAGTCTCTGTGTTGATGTAGAAGGGAGAAGAGTGGGGCTGTGTATACACACAGATGGTTAGATTGCTGGAATTGTGGCTTTGACGTGCAATGCCATGAATATTACAGCATCTGGGCACATTGAGTCAAAATGATCATTTCTGTGCATATTGAATCAAAATTGAGTTCTAAATGATTGCATCTCTAATGATTTTAATTATAATCACTTGCTCCGTATCTGTAGCTTCAGATTGCTTAGATAGAGCATTTAGATCTAAAGCTGTGGTGTCAGAGCCTGGCTTGGAGCTATGACTTGGCCACCTGCTGGTTT